GAAGAAGGAAGGAAGGGAGGTAGACAAAGGAGGTCTTTGATGTAAATGCCTCACCCGTCCTTGGTGAATGTATCTGGACTCCCATATAATTATTATGTATCAATTAATTTTTTAAAAAAGTAAAAAAAGAATATAGGAGTGGGGGGGTGGAGAGGGAGAGAGAGAAGAAGGAAGGAAGGGAGGTAGACAAAGGAGGTCTTTGATGTAAATGCCTCACCCGTCCTTGGTGAATGTATCTGGACTTGGTCCCTTTGGCATCCTTGACGGCATCTGCTTTGTCTGTGGGCCTCTGGGCCTTAGCTTGAATAATATCACTTGCGGGTCTTACTAAGGCTGGGTTGGAGAAGCCAATGTCCACACAGGTCATCAGCCCTTTATCCCTGACCTTGAGCTCTTCAGCACATGGCTTCAATTTTAATGCAATCTGGAAAAAAACTCTTCTAATGTGGCAAAAGATCTAAACCTTTATGTAAATAGGCAAGAGGCAGGATTTCAGCCTAGGACCACAGTCCGCTGGTGATCTCTGGTCTCTTCACTAGAACTTCCTCTTACTTTCTAAATCACCTTCCCTAAGAAACCCCTGGATGTCCCCAGCTAACTCCTGCATATCCTTAAGGATTCAGCTTTGATCTTGCCTATTTGGGGTGGGGGTGGGGGAATGTCCTGATCTGTATAATAAAATTTCAGTACCATATTTTCCAAAGTCCTTCATTAATTTTTTATCACAGCACTTTTTAGTACTAACTGTAAATGTTTGCTTTCCACTATCTTTGAGGTTTTAGTGAAATCATTTTAAAAGCCAGATTCACTTCCCATGCCTATAGTCTCAGTACTCACTCAGCTCAGGGTAGGCACTCACTAGACATTTGTCAAATGAGTAATTGACTAGCAAAAGGCTTTCACATAGAATGGCTTGCAAAGGCTGTGGCAGATATTGTGGGTACCCCACCCATATCTTCTCCTCACCACTCCAGGACACACTGGCTAATTTACTTGCTGGGGAACAAACACGGTCCTGGAGTAACCCTCAACTGAAGAGCGGCAGGAGCTGGGATATAAAAACCCAGCTTCCCTACCTCTTGGCTTCCAGAATTCACCAGCAGGATTCAATTCTAGTTTCCCACATGAATAGCTGATTGGATAGCAACGCTTTTGTGGTCTCTTTTCTCCCATTTCCTGTTTTCACTTAGGTACTCTTTTCTTCTCCCAAACAAACCACATGCAAGCAAATTCCTATTTAAGGTCTGTTTCTAAGGGAGCAAATCATAATGTCATAATGTTCTCCACAAGGCGTGTATCATCACCTGCATTTTTAAAAATTAAGAAATGTTGGGTCCAGCAGGTGGTGTGGTGGGTAAGGTGCTGGACTCCCATGGGCTGACTGCAGTTCAAGTCCCAGACCCAACAGTTTGAAACACACTGGGGACATTTGTGTGCGTGCCCCAAATCCTGAGAGAATTGAGGAGAAGGGATTGTGGTGTGGCCATCCCCCCTGGAGGGGGTGATTTCTTACTTTCTGTGTCTCTGTCTGTCTCTCCAGCGAGCAAACAGGCTCTATAGCAAAAAAAAAAAAAAAAAAAAAAAAAAAAACTCTCAAAAATAGATAGATAGATAGGAAAAGGAAATGCAGGGCAGATGGATTAAGGCCCCCCAGAAAGTGCATAGAAGAGTCAGAACCTGAGCCCCTAGTCCTCTGGCTCCAGGCCCTGGCCATCATCTGTCCACCATGTTACTCCTGGGAGCTCCTCAGTCAGTGTGTATAAAATAACTGAATGGCCGGACGTAGTTCTGGTATGAACTAATTGTCCCAAATTCAACCCTGAGTTCCAAGTTTCTTTTTAGTCACACTTTGGTGCTGAATAGGTAAGTCTGTTTGGATAAGAATGAAAAATAAAAGCACAAACATTTAAGTTAGTTGGATTATTTCCTCTTACCTGCCTATGCCCCTCGGGTGTTACCCCTTTCTGATCCTATTTAAACAGGGAAATGTCTTCTGAATCCCAGTCTTGCAGCGATTGATTCTGCATAGCCAGTAGCCTTGTTTGAGGTAATTGCTCTGCTAGGAGGAGGATTGCCTGCGTGGGGAGCCTCTTAGCTGTTTAAAGCATTAACCTCTAGTCCAGGAAGCCTCGTGCTGCGGGACCTGGTTGTAAGCTAATTCAGATCGCCGGACAGTTTGCACAAGTGTGGCAGTGATGTACGCATGGATTCTGAACAGAAGAAAGTCTTCTCAAGTGAGAGGCAATGTGAGGTGAGGTTGAATCCCAAAGCAGGACCAGAGATTAAAACCCTGTGGAAAACAGACAGATAGAAGACAAAAGTCCCCAGAGGCTAATTCTGTGACAAGAGCTGCTACAGAGAAAAGGAATGGGCAGGCCATTCTTTGCAGAAATTGGGGAGGGAGGGAGGGATGTTGGGATGAGAAGCAGGGAGTGCTCAAACAGAAGACAAGGGTGCCTTTTCTTCATCCCTTTCTACAGAAGCTGCTGCATTTCCGAGTTCCTTTCCGAATTGGCGGGGTCTACTTTCTGACACACTCTCTATGAGAATGGCACTCCGGGCTAGCTTAGTCTCAGGAGTCAGTACTGCTCTCCCCAGAAGGACCTGGGAAGGCTTTTCAGATTTATGCGCCTCACTTCTCTCACATGCACCTTTCCGAAAGAGCTGTTGAGGGAGAATATGGCTGGCTGTGTGAACTGCCTAGGGGCACGCCATACACGTCAGCTGTTTTTAATATTATGAGAAGTGGTATTATTCCAGAACATCATTGAGACTGGCATCATGCCATGGATCAGCACGATGTAGCTAAGATCATTGAACCGGCTGCCGAGACGAGCATCAGCCTTGCCTTTAAAACCTCTAAGAAAGAGCTTTTCAAACTCCTTGCTGAAGTCCATGTAAAATATCTACCTCAGGTCTGCGGTTTTTACCATTTAATGTCCATGAAGGAAACCAGGTCACTCAGGCACAACCTGATTTTAATGAACCTTACAGGCTTCTAAAAATCACCACTCTATTTTCTTTTTAAGTGCTCAAAACCATCACTTTAACGATCAGTTCTAGAGTCTTGACCCAGAACAATGTCAGTCTCATTATAGAATCACAGTATCTATGAAGAGCTTTTGAAATATTTGGAGATACTTTTTCTGTGCCCATCTCCACATTCCTGCCATTCTCTGGATTGAATTTATTTAGAGCAGCTAGGTGCTGTCCTACAGTCTCTTACTCCCCTCAGGGTTTCTTTTCCCTTCTTCCAGGTTTATTTTGCATTTTCATTCTGCTGCTCATCTTTCCTGGCATTTTGTCTTGAAAAATTAGAAGCAAAGCAGGTGCTCAGGAAGTCCACATTCTCTTGGCCATCCCTCTCCTTCACTCACCTGCAAGAAGCAGGCTTTATGATTCAACTTTGTGTTCCAAACGCAGCTTTAAGGCCCATGTGGGTGTCCTTAGAAGTTTTTCTAAGTGTCAGCTCAGATGAGACATCCCACTCCAGATGTCTTGTTTTCCACTGCTCACCGTTCAGTTCAACAAAACACCTATTAGGCACCTACTGTGAGGAGGCATTGTGCTGTGCTTGAAAAATACAAAGGAAAGCAAGATGGAGTCCCTGGTCTGACGAGTTCACGGTACAGCCAGGGATATGCACACACTCAGACAAGACAGGGTGCGAGGACCCTGCAGCAGGTCTCCAAGCCACCCTGCACCTCCACCTGGGGTGGAGAGGGTCAGGGTGGCGGTGCTGAGGAGGAGGTGGTGCCTGCACAGGACTCATGCTCCTCTACTCCACCTGCTCCCATTCCCCATCCGCAAGCAGCCACTGCTGTAAGCAGGTGCACCTTGCTAGTGCAGTGTCCTTGCAGAGTGCACATCATCACTGGGTGCATGTGTTTCCTTCTGAATGGATGTGGATGATCTTATGTTACGTACGTTTTTACTTTTTCACTCTCCTTATTAGTACTCCTTTTAAGATACATGCACAGACCAGCAGATTGTGTGGAGGTTAAGGTGACTGAATCCCACATTGCCATCTGCCAAGTTCGAGTTCTGGAATCGGTGGCTTGAAAAACACACTGAGCATGTGTGTGTGTGTGTGCATGGCCAAAATCCTGAGAGGAGAATGAAGAAGGGATTGCAGTGTAGCCATCCCCTCTGGGGGGGTGCTTTCTCCCTCCCTCTGTTTCTTACCAGTGAACACAAGCACCCTATAGGAAAAACTAAAAAAATAAATACATAAATAGAATAAATGATACATTCACACCAGAGTTAAACACCCAGGCTGTGTTGTTGCTTCCAGTTGGTGCATGTCTCCGGGCTACAACCTCCACACCTGTCACTTCTCCGTGTTTCAATGCGGAAGTCGAGTGATCTCTAGTTCTAGCACCTCAACAGCTCTGCTGCAGCATGGGATGTGACTCACTGTAGACAAGTGTGAGGTTTCCTGGGTCATATATGCCCAGGGGCAGAACGTCTGGGTCACAGGTCTGCCAGGCAGAATAACGGCCCCAGAGAGGTCCACATTCTAACCCCTGGAGCCTATGAATGTGCAACTGTGTGTAGCAAAAATGCTTTACAGATATGATTAAATTCAGAATTTTTTTTTTTTTGGTAGAGGTTTTCACTATAGGGAGCGTGTGCTCACCAGACAGACAGAGAGAGACAGAGAGACAGAAAGCAAGAAATCACCCCCCAGGGGGGATGGTCATGCCGCAGTCCCTTCTCCTCCATTCTCCTCTCGGGATGTTGGGCATGCACGCACACGCCCCCAGCGTGAGTTTTAAGCCACCAGGTCTGGGACGTGAACCGCTGTCGACTACGTGGGAGTCCAGCAACATAGCCATTACGCTAACTGCTGGTTCTATAGTCACAGAATGTTGACATAAAGAAATTATCCTGGATACTCCAGTATATTCACAAAGGTCTTTATACAAGTAAGCGGGAGGCTTACTTTTATGGCATAATGGCTATGTCACTGGACTCCCTTATAGTCAATGGCGGTTCGAGTTCCGGACGTGGCGGCTTTCAGAGTCCCGGAAGTTGAGAGATTTGAAGTTGCTGCCTTGCTGGCTTTGAAGGTGGCAGCAGGGCCAGGAGCCGCAGGATGCAGGTGGCCTGGAGAAGATGGAAAAGACAGGGACAGACATTCCCCTGAAGCCTCCAGAGGAGGAGAGCTCTGCCTGCTCCTTGATTTTTAACCTAGTAAGACTGGGTCAGACTTTGAATTTCTGGAACTGTGCAATAATATATTTGTGTTGTTTAAGCCCCTAAATGTGTGGTGATTTGCTACAACAGCCATGGAAACAAACATAAGCTATGCTCAGACTTATTTGAACTGAAATGGGGCTAAGTTACTCTCAGGGTAGCTGCCTGGGGAGGGCCAGCCATGGGCATGGTGGTTCAGGTGGCCAGATCTCACATAGTGATGGGTGGTTCTGGAGCCCAGGCCACTTGAGGAGCACGCTGGGTACATGTGCGTGTGTGCCCAAAAGCCCACGGAGAGAGTGTAGGACATTGTGGCATGGCTGACTCCCCTGGGGAGCACTTTCTCACTTTTTCCCTCCAGGCTATATCCCCAGTGGCTGTCATGGGAGTATCAACCTAATTCAGCTTTCTGGTTTGTGTTAATCTGGTGGGTAGAGAGCATCACTAAATCTTGAAGAAAGACTCAGTTACCCTCCAGTTATGTGGAGTGGTTCAGGTGAGATGGGAAGTGGTCTTGAGCTCCTGGCTGCTGCAGACAGATTGGCTGGTCTTGGAGTGGTGGTGGTGGTGGCGGCATGCGAGTGAGTCATTAGGTCCCAAGTGACACTTGCGAAGAACCTGCAAAGTGGAGACAAAGCTGGAGTCTTTCTCCAGGGAGTTCTGTGTGGTTCGGATGGGGAGAGTCACCGCAGGCAGGGGAGGCAGCAGTCAGTGGAGCCTGGACTGCTCCATCATCCTGTCACCCAGTCCCACAGTTGCTGTGTGACCTCGGGCCAGTCCTCAGTCGCTCTGACCCCCAGTTCCTCCTTTGTGTGACAGGGACACTAATCATGAATGTGAGGCCCCTAACACAGTGAGTGGGAAGTAGCTAGCACCCAATAAATAATTATCGAAATAGTAATATTACTGTCATCACCACAATAATTATAATAGTAATTACACTTTCTTCCATTTCACACATCAGAAGAGAACATTTGATTTTCCTTCCTCATGTATAATATCCATTGCTGACCTCACGCTCCCGTATGGAGAGTAATGCATTGTGGTCAATCTTCACATATTTACATGCAAATTATTTTATACATTATTTTCAAGGAAAGTTCCTTCTCCTCGACCACTCCATTCATAGACCTTCTCCCAATTCCCCCCAACCCCTAACAAATGGGGGTTTTCTTCTAGGGCTGTTTGCAGCATAATGCAATTAAATACAGCTTCCTTCCCTGACATCTATCCTACAAGCTCTCTCCCCTAACACTTTACAGGACTAAATCATGCACGAGAGGGGAGAATGATGGGGATTGAATAAACTACAGGAAACAGCGCAGTAAGGATTCTGTGCTGTGAAGAGATAAAAGCCCTTGGTCAGAAGGCCAGTAACAAAGTAGAAGAGAAATGCAAAGCATTGACAAGGGAGACAAGGAAAGCATTTTTCCAGATAAGATTTGCTGAGAGTTGAAAAGCAGATGACTCGGGAGACAGCCGAAGAGTCTTCATTAAGAAGGAACTCTGGACAAGGCACACCAGTGGGGATCCGGGCTTTTGAAGGCCTTGGCTCTGAAGATGGTAACAAACACCAGCTCCGGCTTCTGGAAGCCTCTGAAGTCTTCCTTGGCTGGCCCAGGTGGAGGCAGTTTCTTCTTCCTCAGGGTCTTAGGCCTCTCTCTTCTGTCTATTAAAGAAAGATTACTCTCAACTGCAGTTGTGGGTTTCCATGTCTGATTTCTTCACATGCTGGAGCTCTGGGCAAGAATTATCTTGGACATTTTCCTAGGTTTACTTACCCTGGGTTCAGATCATCGCTGGCTGCCGTCTCTGCCCCATGCTGTGTGCTTTGCATACATGATAGAGGGGACACCTCGTGTCAGCCTGAGTACCTGTTTTGCCACTGAGGAAATTGAGGCAGGAGGAGCCTGTGATCTGCTCACAGACACAAGTGGGGAGGACGAAGGTGGGGTGCGCCCCCACTCATTCTGACTCTGAGTTAGGCCGCTGAGGTTCTGCTACTTCACTAAGTTTGGTACTGGCCATAAATGCACTCGACAAGAGTTGGATCTGGGAACAAACTACAGCGCCGGGAACTCAGCTTCCCACAAATAATAGGATTTTAAAACAAATAAATATACCACTGGAATGCCCTTTAAAAGCTACCTTTCAAATAGTCCTAAAGGTTTCTGTACCAATCTGGTTAGTAAGTTCCCAATATTGAACCCCATTTTGGATTCTCAGGCCCTGCCCTCTCTGCAGTAGCTACACGGAGTCCCAGCACTGGCACAAGGTCCTATGTGGGCTGCAGGGTTGGATGGAACATGGATGAGGGAGGCTGCCCACCCCAGCCCTGGAGGCCTAGAGCACAGGCCATTAAATCCGAGCTTAATGGTCATTTTACTGTCAGCATTAAGTCACCCAGACATACATCAGCAGGGACTACGTGGTGAGCCTTTTCTTGTCTTGTTTTTCTGAAGACGGACAGTAAGAGCAGAACAAACTGGGCTGAGATTGGCAGGGAGAAGCACAGCGGTCATCAGAAACAAGCAGACTTTGGTGAGCTAGCACTGTTTGGGGCAACTTCTTTGGGTGTTAAGTGCAAGCCCCAGCAGGAACTAGAAAGTGCTCTCAAATATGATCATTTGTAAAGCATTTTATAAAGGGACCATGTACTGTAAACAGACGGAGGGGAGGGAAACCACAAGAGGCAGTGCCTCCCCCGAGGCCTGAAGGGGCCAGGGGAGAGGGAGCCCCTACAGAGAGGGGTCTAGCTGAGTGCATGGAGATCTTCAGTATAGTGAGTGACACAGCCAGCCCTCCAGAGTGACCGGCAGGAAGGGCACAGAGCAAATGCCCAGATCCATTCTCCTCTCTGTCTTCCTTCTGTAGTGACTTTTTCCCTCTGGTCAAAGCCGGAGAGCCAGAGAGCGTTTTGACTGGGTCCATAAAGGCCAGTCTCCAGGGCCCAAAATAAAGGAGAAGAGAAGAGAAGGCAGTGAACAGGAATTACCTACTCACTTCTTTATCAAGTCCTAGACACAGACAGTGCATTAAAGTTGACCAAATAAAACACAGGACTGTAAGGTTAAGATATCTAAACAATGTATTTTACAAGTTGTATAAGGAGGATTTTCCTGGGCTCATTCCACAGAAGACTGTACTGTACTCTTCAATAAAACATCTTTTTGAATCCTCCCATCAATCTAGCAAGGTAGGTTGTTCCTCCAATTTCCATAGCAGAAGTTGAAGGTTAAGCAGTTTTATGACTCGCTCAAGTAAAATTCCCTATACAAACTCTGGAAAATATAAATTTGGGGGTACCTTTGTCTACCAGAACCATCTTTTATTCGAGTCCTCATCTTTTCAGTGTTCATGACTTCATAACTGTCAAGAAAATTTTCATTTGTTTCATGGCAGGTATTCACAAGAGCTGCAAGGACACCACAGTTTATTAATGTCTGCAGGTCAGGAAGTTTTTGCTGGCTACTCCCTTGGTTAACTGACGTATTGAACCCTTCTGGTATTTTGTAGTCAGTGATCCAGGGCAAAATGTGGCTGTCTTTTCACACCCCCTTCCCTGCCAAACTGTACCATTTCATTACATAGGGAGAGACCAGTCCCCCCAGAAGCCCCAGCCATGGAGGATTCTACCTACTGTGATCGGCCCACATAGATCCAAAAGTAGGCAGTTTTCCAAGGGGGCTCCATTTCTTTCTTTCTTTTTTTTAAGAGATTTTTGCTATAAGGCATGTGTTCTTGCCAGAGAGACAGAGAGACAGAAAGTGAGAACTTACCCCCTGAAGGATGACCACACCACAGTCCTTTCTCCTCCCTTCTTTTGTGATTTTCCATTGAGCTGGTTGTTGACTTTCACATTGTGATTCAAAAATAATTCAAACGGGACCAGCAGTTAGGGTGATGGCTATGTTGCTGGATTCCCACGTAGTCAACCGTGGTTTGTGTTCCAGAGCCGGTGGCTTAAAACTCATGCCGGGCGCGTGTGCGTGCGTGCCCAAGATCCCAAGAGGAGAATGGAGGAGAAGGGATTGCAGTGTGGCTATCCCCCCTGGGGAGTGATTTCTCACTTTCTGTCTGTCTCTCTGTCTGTCTGGCGAGTGCACACGCCCTATAGCAAAAAAAATAAATAAAAAATAAACTAAAACAAAAACTCTTAAAAAAATAGAAACAAAAATAATTCAAAAGGAGGGAAATAGTAAATTCTCATTTTGCCTCTTAACAGCATATCTCAAAACTAAATTAATTCTCAACCTTTGTGGATAAAATTTGTGTCCTGATAAATTCATCCCTTAAGAATGCCTTATCCATCTTTTCAGAGCTCTCCAATTCATACTCCACGATTCCAACCTCAAATTGTTCTCTTTTGTCTTGTCTCTTCAACCCTGAAGATTTACCAGATCATCCTCGTGGGAGGATGATCTGGTAAATCAAGCCAGCTCTGTGAGAGTGCCCCATCCTCCTCGCTACCTCCTCCCCACCCCAGCTTGTGCTCCTTCATCCTTTCTTCTCAAGGAAAAGAATGTCTTTCCTTGCCAAAGTTCAATTCATTAAAACAGTCTTTCCACCCCAGTCCGTGAGGAGCCTGCAGTCACATTCGGCCCCTTTCTCTCCATCCTCTTCCTGTGCTCTCCTTCCTTCTTCTGCCAACAAAACGGTCAAAACCCATCAAAAACGAAAAAAGAAAAAAACAAAGTTCATGAATAATACTCATCTATAAAATGAAAAAAGAAAGTGGACTTTCTTGCAAGTGTTCTTACTTCTTGACAGATTTCCTAGTCAGCCTTTGCTGAGATATTGCGCCATCTTTTCCAAATGTTCTGACCCATTTCCTCCATCACGGTAAGGCCCTCGAAGGCTACTTAGTGGCTTCGTAATGACCATTTCACAGCTCATGCACCTTGGTCTCTGCAGCTTTCAACGCCGTTGACTTTCTTTCTTTCTTATTCCCGCACTGAAATTGGTCCTTCTACGGCTTCCAGGGCATGACACTCAGTCCCTCCTCCCTCCTTGCTGTCGGAATGGTCTCCTTGACATCTTTCCATTCTGAAAAAGTCTAGCACTCTGCCCAAGGCATGGTATACAAAGTCTTATTTTCTTGGCTTAACTTCTAGCTTTAGTGCTTATTAGCTGAGTGATCTTCACCAAGTTATTTGAAAATTTTAATCTCAGTCTACTCATCTATAAAATGGGAATAGTAATAATTTGTACAGAGTAAATTTATATAAACCACTTATAAAAGTTTTGAAAAATAAGAATTTAAGCCTAAAATATCTACGAGTTGGCATTTTGCTGTGTTCTGCCATTAGAACTATATTAGGTCCTATCACTGTATAACAAATGACGCCAAACTTAGGGGCTGAAAATAATACAGATTTATTATTGTGTAATCCTGGAGGTCAGAAATTCTAAATAGACGTCACTGAGTTACAATCAAGGTGTCCACAGGGCTAGGAAAAATCTGTCCTTTTGCCTTTTCCAGTGTTTAAAGTCGACTTCATCCCTTCCTCCATCTTCAAAGCTATCAGCAAAGCATCTTTTAATCTTCCTTCGACTTCGACTTTCTTGCCTCTCTCTTTCATGAGACCTTTGTGATTATGTTGGACCTATTTGGATAA